GTAGAGCATATGAGAATTAGAGGGTGATAAATTAGCCCCACAAACATTCAGTAAAATTTCTGGTCATTCTGTAGCCACTATGCTCGATAGGCTTTTTTTTTTTTTTCTTTTTTGAGGGGGAGTCTCATTCTGTTGCCCAGGTTGGAATGCAGTGGTGGGAGCTGGGCTCACTGCAACCTCTGCCTCCTGGGCTCAAGCAATCCTCTCACCTCAGCCTCTTGAGTAGCTGGGACCATAGGTGAGCTCCACCACACCTAGCTAATTTTTGTATTATTTGTAGAGATGGGGTTTTGCCATGTTACCCAGGCTAGTCTTACACTCCTGGGCTCAGGTGATTTACCTACCTCAGCCTCCTTGTAAGTGCTGTAATTACAGGCATGAGCCATTGTACCCAGCCTCGATAGTCATTTTCAAATTTGGGGAAATATCTACAACATTTGAATATGCTACATCAACCTGTTTACAGAGGAACTCATGAGGCTGCCTGTTTTTAATGATGATCAGAGTAGAAGGCTCTGCAGCAAGCCCAGCGGTACAGGCTATGCTACCACTTCAGCTTTGTGATCTAGCAAACTCAATGACTCTCTTAGTATCTGCGGCAAAGAGGAATGCTCTGTGGAGTTTCTGGAAAGTGCTGATAGCAGAATCACAATGCAGGCATCCAGGATTTTGAAATAAATATATTCTTCATATAACTTTACTTTTTGATAAATAGCTTTTGACTTGCTACTAGGTAGATACTGAATGCATAATTATGGAGTATCAGGTTACCATGTGGACCAAGTTTCCCATCATTATCTGGGAAAAAATCTAACCCATCTTGCCATAAGGTTGGCAATGTACAACAGCAGTATACCATTGAGTGGAAACAGTACATGAAACAGAACCAGAGCAGATCTGGATAGTATAGATAAGTTGCATGGACCAAGGACTCAGACTTCTTTGGTAGCAACTCCAATGGCATTGCTTCGTCTCCTTCAATTTATGCCTATAACTTCTTGGTGATTCCCTTAGTCCAGTTGTTAGAAGGAAAAAAAAAAAACAAAAAAAAACAAAACCTCAAACCTGATTTACAGATGAATCTGAACAATACACTAGTACTACCCAAGAGTAGACCTGTATAGCACTATGGCCCCACCCATGAGTAATTGTGAAGGATACTGGATGAGGAAAATTCTTCCTGTAGGCAGCGATTTGAACAGTAAATGTGGTTGTCCACTATGCCGGAAATGAAACATGCCTAGAATTACAGATCTATATTGGTCATCGATGAGTAGTTGTTAATGGTTTGTATGGTCAGAGCTTTGGAAGGAACAGGATGGGAAGATCAGTGACGAGGCAGTTAGATTGAGGAAGAGGTATGGGAATGAACCTTTCAATATGAAAAGACCTTGAAAAAAATTGTATTTCATCTGAGTGTATTTTACAAAAACACATCAATTGCAGAGGAGGCTCATAATAACCAACTGAACAAAATGACACATTATGGATGTCAGCCAGCCTCTCTCTCCAGCTGTCTCAGTGTTTGCCCAGTGGGCCCATGAACAGGGATCTTGGTGGCAAGACTGGAGCTGTGTATGCCTGGGCTCAGCAACATGGCTTCCCCTTTCTAAAGTTGACTGGGATAGCACTGCTGCTGAGTTCTTAATCTGCAGAGACCAGCACTGAACCCCTGCAGGGATCAGCCAGCCTCTGGGTGACAGGTTCATTACACTGGATTTCTTCCTTTATTGTCTATTCACTAGACTAGACAAATATTCTGGATATGGATTTGCCCTTCCTTGACATCACCAACATCTGTGGACTCCTAGAATGCTTAATGGCAGGGTGAATACAGAGTAGTAGGTAGTGTAAGAAAGAAGTCATACATATTCATTACGGCCTCACAGCCAATTAGATAGGTGAGGATTATTGTAGATTTGCACATTTTTCTTTTTAAAATTTTTTTTCAATCAGCTTTCCTGAGTTCAATGCACATTTCTTTCTTTGCCTCTTACATTCAAGTGTTTATTTGTATATATTAACAATTTTCTTCTCTCATTTTCATTAAAAAATGTTAAATATAAGCTGTTGGAGATCAACTTTACAATTTAGTCTTTGGATAACAGAATATTTAGTGAGACTCTGACAGAATTTAAGGAGTAACTCAGAGTCATAGCAATGGCTACAATGGGTGTTAGGACTCTATGTCTCTCGTTTTTGAGGAGATAAAACTCTTCACTTATAAAGAAGGAAACAGACTTTGTGAGCTGAAATGTAGAATTGTGTTGTTATTGTACAGGAGTTTTAGTGTGTGGGAGAGTGGTGCATGTGGAAGCTGAGTAGTCAAAAGTGTAGCCTTTGCTGCTTATCAGTTTATTGTCTCTTAGTTCCAAATTTACTGTATTAGTCTTTTCTGCAATAATGGAGCTGGGCCTTGTAAATATTTTTCTGCTGACTCATGTAATGTTAAGCCTTGCCAGTAGAGGGCACTAGAGGGACACTGAAGTGGCTGAGGCTTCTCTTCATGGGTTCTGTGATGCTCCCCGGCTAAGCTCCCTCTGAGCACAGTTCTGAGCATAGTTTTCCTCCACTTCTCACTCCCCAGTAGGATTTTCTCCAGTACTAGGTACCTGCACAACATAGCTTTCTCTAGAGTTGGTGTCCCCCAAACACTGCACTTTCTTTAGAGCTTGATTTGGGCAACAATGGTGTACCCCTGCACCATAGACACCATGGACCTGCTCTATCATCCAAGTCAATGCTCCCCAAACTCTCTCCTCAGATCTATGCATGCCAACTGGGGGCCCCACAGGACTGGGTGTCTAGGGAGCTGGCTGCCCAACCTTTGTCCCAGGCAGCCAGCCCAAAGCCATTGTTGCCTGTGTGGCACATGAAAGTGCACTAAACTCCTGCAGGGGACAACCTCTGTGATTCCAGATTCCATTAGCAGCCAGCAGTTTTCCTCAGCACCTAGCTAGTTCTAGGGTTTTACCCCCAGATATGAATGGTCTTTTCTGGAACTTCTGGGGCAGATTTCTGGTAACTCCCATGAATGAAGTACTTCTATGACTTTTCTTCCTGGCAGTCAAAGCTAGGGCATCTCCATATACATTTCTGGATTCAGCCCTGTGAGAGGAGAGCTCTTCTTTGAATGCTTATTTCAGCCCTAGGGAGAGTGGTGGCCCCTTATACTCTATCCACGACTCCTATATTCTTTAGAATTCTCCTTAACTCCCACTAGGCAATTCCCTCTTACTTCAATCTTCTCTTAATAGTAGATTGTATTAAAAAGTCTCTCTTTTCAAATCACTGTGTGGTTTCTATCTCCTTACTATTCCAAAAGCCACCAACTATGTTTACAAGGTAAATCAATGGACAGATATTTTAAAATGCAGTGCCTCTGCCTAGGGGCGGTGGGGTGGGGGGATAACAGTTACGTAAATAATCTCTGGATCCACCTAAATCACTCCTCAAAATTCCTCTACTCTGTAGCATGCCCATAAATAATCAATATGTATCTTTCATATGTAATATAAAAGTCATTCACAGGTGCAGATGTGACAGGAAAGAGCGTGTGAGCCCCTGAGTTTGTGACTCCCTTGACAGGTAATGTAGTATCATAATTACTTGTTTGTGTCAAACTGTCAAGGTAGAGTTGGCTAGCTCACACATCAAGATTCTATCAGCAACCTTGAACATGTAGAGATGACAATAAGGGAGATGTTTATCTGACCAGTCATAGCTGAGAAGCTAGATGTCTGATCCTGTCCTCCTCAGTATTGAAACCTGTGTCTTACAGTTGCTGATGGTTAACTCTGTCACTCAGCGTTTTGTCTCATAACCTGCAGATATCTTTTAGGAAGCTGTTCTTTGTTTATAACAATTGAAAGTAGTTTAGTTATCCACTGGTGGCATTGCCCTGTCACTCAGAGTAACTCTACTTTGCCTTTAGCTGAGATCTTTGAGGTATGTCCACTACTGCCCGCTTCAGACAGAATGTGGCCATCCATGCAGCTTGCTTTGCATCACTGTTTGTTTCTTTTCATACATCCACAGGTCACTTACTGCTCAGAAGAAATGCTGCCAAGGATGTGAACATAAACTTAAACATAATCAAAACTAACAAACTACAGCAGTAAAACACCATGAGATTTGATTCCACCAATAAATGAAAGCAGAAATGATATTCTGCCACTTCTCTGTTCCCTAACATTTAACCAGTAGATGAGGGGCATATAAAAAACAAGCACTTCAAGGTTTATTATCTATAATTTATATTAGAGTATTGGGAGGTAATTTTGTATTTTTTCTGCTTAGTGTGGTTACCCCTAACTCTTTACAACATGTTTTAATTCAGTAGTAAGCAAGTTTTATATTACCAAATTAGACCTCATGACAATTACATTCATCAGGAAGCAGACTTTAAACTTCTGAAGTTGTTTTTTGTCACAAACACAGAAACAGAAGTGAAAGGAACCACTATCTTCTTATTTCATTAAATGTTACTTTTATGTAAAACTATACTGTTCTGCTTTTCACTACTTTAGAAAATTGTTTCCGTTGGAATTTTTAGGTTAAATGAACAATTAATATTTCTGCAACCCATGCTTCTCCACCTGGGACAATCACAATGGATCTTACCTTGATATTGTCCCTTCTCAATTTGCATTTATAAAAGATCCCCAGGTGATTCATAGTCACTTTAAAGTTTGAGAAGCTGTAGTCTAGATAGCTGAAGGCCACCACATTTTAGTTAGATTATTTTAAATTTGTGAGATTTCAGATGGAAGCATATTTTTACACCTGAAAATAATCCATCGATTTTAACAGTGAGTATCACAGCCAGTTAAAATTGTGTATATTGCTTTAGCTTTTCACTTTATGAACATTTTTATTAATGACTTTTACAATGTCTACATATATGTCAGGATACAGATTAATTAATTTTTAAAACCAGGTATCTGAATTTTACTCTTAGAAATTCATAGGAATTTAGAATTTTTTTTTTTAGTTTTTAAAAACTATTTTATGATTTTTGACTTCTCTTCCTCTGTGAATCTGATATTTGTTAATTAGCAAATAGCCATCTTGGATAGGTGTATTTAAAGGTTTTAGAAAGAGTACAAGAAGAACAAATCCTTTATCTCCTAATTATTTCCAATGTGCAAATATGACATATTATTTCCTGAGTGTGCTGTTGTGCTGATTTTTTTCTTATCGATGCTCAAACTTCTGAGTTCCACTGGAATTTGACTGTAGGAGAGATGTGTTTTGTTACATGAGGTCTTTACATAGGTCTTCAAATTTGGCAGGTAGTACTGACAAGGAACGTGGCATTATTACCAGAAAAAGGAATTAAGAATCCTGGTTTCATTTTACTCATTCATTTGTTGTGTATCTTTGGCTTATGTCCTTTATTGTTCAGGTCTCAATTATCCATTTTTATGATTGGAATATAATATTTATAACATGATTTACCAAATCATAATTTGCAATAAAACCTCAGTGCCTCATATACATCAGCATAAGTCCTTAGTCTTTTTAGAAAACTGCAGGTCTTTCTTGCTTTGAATTTTATCTTACCTCTCCATTTCTAAATAACTTCTATTCATTTGCATCAGGAATCTGTTTTGAAACACCTGCCTTTGGAGTATTAGAAATTAGTAATGTGGTTGCCTTTGGACAGATACCACCCTTATCAGGTGCTAGTTTTGATTTGCCCAAAATCTTGTGATCTAGATCAGTAATTCTTAATCCTTGCTGCTTATTAGAATTATCTGGAGAGCTTAAAGTAACAACAAAAGCAGACTGCACACCCTGCCCCTACACCAATTAAATCAGAGGTAAAGCTTAAGGCACTTTATTTTTTAAGAGCTTTCCACTAATGTATACCCATAATTGAAGATAACTGATGGAGATGCTTAATGTTGAGTGTCATTCAGCATTAATGGAAGCCTAATATTTCACATTAATGGCAAAATACAGAAAAGTGATAATGAAAAATCCCATCAATGTTGGAATCATTAAGTGATCAGGGTTGATAAGAGAAGATTAATCTCTTCAGAAATAGTCTGAAAAGATCAAAACATCATCTTCCCATTTCTAGACTCTGCCTCTGTAGGGTTCTCAACCTCCTAATCTTCCATTTTAAGATCTACAATCTTATTGCCAGTCTTTATTTCTAAAAAGATGCTTTGAACAGTTTTTAAAAATAATTTATCTGTAAAATGTTACCTAACAATAGGAAGCTACTTATAGTTTTTATCATTTTTCACCAGTTTTTTTCTTATTACCTTATATTTAGGATTTCAGTTCTTGACTCTTAAATACTTTATTTTAGATACTTTTAGTTAAAAGCTCAGGATTTTACATTGAAACTGAGTTTGAACACAGTTAGAAAAAATACTGGTCTTAAACAGAACTGGCTTGGCCAAGCCACTTAATCTCTTTGATTCTCCATATCTGTCAGTAAAATTGGAATAACAAGAATGAAGTGTAGTAGCTCATACCTGTAATCCCAGCACTTTGGGAGGCTGAGGCAGGAGGATCCCTTGAATTTGGGAGTTCAAGATCAACCTGGGCAGCATAGCAAGACCTCATATCTACAAAAAGAAAGAAAGAAAAAAAGAAAAAGAATAATACTTCATAATATTGCTGGGAGAGTTAGAACTATGTATTAAATGTTATTTAATATCAGGGACCTAGTCAACATTTAACACAAGTTAAATATTGTTTTTGTTGTTGATTCTGATGAAATCTTGGTCCTCCTTCTTCCTTTTTCCAGTCATCAAATTTTCTGGATGCCTACTATGTTACCGACATTGTGGTATGTGCCAGGAAAAAAGCCATGAATAAGAGAGATGCTATCCTTGTCTTTCATGAGCTTTCCTTGACTCCTCTATTAGAAGCATTCCAAACTAAAACTGACTAATTGAGTGGGTCCTTACATAGATACACATGCACTCACAATGATAGGATTAAGAATTCCTCTAGTTTATTATTTATTCCTAAAAAAAGAATTGTTTTCTGTCTGCCTTATTAATTGTATCCTTCTTTTCAATTTCTGCCCTAGCCACAAATATGATTTCTGACATAACGTGTTTCAGGAAAACTATCACTATTGTGATAGTTCTGTCATATGCTCCTGTTCTGTGCATTCTCTGAACTCTTTTCTCATGTTCTGTCAAAATATCTCAGGGAGACCAGCTCAGTCCTTCTCAGATTCCTAATTTAGCCTACCTCTAGCTACAGAAAAAAATGAGTATTACTAGATAGCCCTGAGGAAGTGGATTTTTGGTAGTTGTCTTAGGAACAGAAAGGAGGTAAACAGAAGTTGATGAATATCTACAGTTAGAGGGGATGAGGTTGTGGTTCATCAACTGGAAACTACTTTCCTGGGAGACCCCAATATTTTTCCTGTTCTTATCTTCCTGGATGGAACCCCTTCGATGAGGTTGCTGCCCTATTATTCTGAAAGTGCCCTGAGTCCTAAGCCTTAGGATATTTAAGGCATGACTATCACTACTCTCTCGGCCAAGGTTCTCTTTTCATTTTTCACTGGAGTCCCTTAGGTCAGATCTAATGAAGTTCAGTTTTAAAGATCAACCAACTGTTACACATTTAACATCTCTCAAGTATGAGATAAGATTTTAAAATTATCTCCACTTGACATGGGTAATTTATCTGTGTTTTCATTTGTCTTTTTTTTTCTTTATATACTACCTCTTCATAGGATTGGAAAAATTGAACTTTTTTTTCAGTCTGTCTCTTTTGTTCTAACCTTAAATGTAGGTATTTCTCTGTCTTCTTTGTTTTACATTCTCTGAAGATGAACTCTTCTATACTCTAAGACTGACTCAAATTTTCATCTCAACTGCAGAGCTTTTTCCTAATTTCCAGTCTCATATATATGTTTGCTCATGCAAACTCACGTTGGAAGTTCCATTAGCATATCACATTTGCTATGTCCAAAACTGAACAAATTATCTCCCTAATACCTATGCTGAATCTATCCTTCTTCCTGCATTTCTTGCCTTTAAGAAGTTAATGTTATTCACTTTACTCATTTGTATTAGTCTGTTCTCATGCTGCTAATAAAGACTTACCAGAGACTGGGTAATTTATAAAGAAAAAGAGGTTTAATGGACTCACAATTTAACATGGCTGGGGAGACCTCACAATCATGGCAGAAGGTGAAAGATGAGCAAAGGCACGTCTTACATGATGGCAGGCAAGAGAACCATGTGCAGAGGTACTCCCATTTATAAAACCATCAGGTCTTGTGAGACTTATCCATGGCCATGAGAAACAGTGGGGTGGGCTGCGAAACCATACACATGATTCAATTATCCTCATCTAGCCCTGCCTTTGACATGTGGGGATTATTATATTTCAGGGTGAGAGTTGGGTAGGGATATAGCCAAACCATAGCACCATTCATCTTCCATTCTTCCCTTTCTCTCACCAAGTCTTATTGTTTGGTTACATTTCCTGGACTCTCTGGAAATCATTACACTCCATCTTCTGGCCCCCCTAACCTCTTTAATATCTATCACCTTTACTGGGTAGAAAACGTGATTTTTCTAAAAACAGAAATTTGATTATGATGTTTTCTTAAAAGCAGTTCTCTCCATTCCATCCATTTGGGACAAAATTGGTAAATTCCAAATTCACTGAAAGATGTACGAGGCTTTTTATGGGCAAATCCTTAACTGACCTTTGAGCCATATCAGTTGTCATTCTCCCCTTGTGCTTTCCGCTCCTGCTGCTCAAGGATTGACCATGCCTTTTCTTGCTTTTATGCTTTTGCATCTGACATTTCCTCTCTATTTTCCCTCCTGTCTACCTGATCAGATTCTGCTCAACAGTGTCATCTTTGGGAAATTTTCCCTAACATTTCTCCTGACCCTCTATGTCACTTTTTTTTTCTTTTAAGAGACAGAGTCTTGCTCTGCTACCCATGCTGGAGTGCAGTGGCACAATCACAGCCCACTGCAGCCTTAATCTCTTGAGCTCAAGCCATCCTCCCACCTCAGCCACCTGTGTAGCTGGGACTACAGGCATGCACCGCCACATTTGACTAATTTTTGTATTTTTTATTTTTTTGTCGGAAGGGGTCTTGCTATGTTGCCCAGGCTGGTCTCAAACTCCTGGTCTTGAGAGATCCTCTGGTCTCAGCTTCTTAAAGTTCTGGGATTATAGCTGTGAGCCATTGTTCCCAGGCTGTGTAGCTTTCTTAATCTCCTGTCATAGCACATATCCGCTCTCCTTTGTGGCTGCCCTTTGACCTCCTATGTTTCAATTCTGCTTCTTAAAGGTAAGGGCTTTCTTTTATTTTGTAGCTACAGCCTTACACAACATTTGACACATAATAAATTGCACAACTGTCATTGTGTGGTTCTGTAACTTCTTACATTCTTTTCAAAGTGAAAAGCTTAAGCAGTCATTTCATTTTTTACATGAAGTTCTTAAAGCAACCCACACTCAGAAATATTGGAATCTTACTTTCCTGAGCAATATATGTCAGAATTGGGGTTATCTTTTGGAGCAGAAGTCTCCACTTCATACTGAAAAGATACAGGGCACTCCGATTAGATATATGATATGAACTATGTTCTGCCAGTTTTATTTATTCTGCTTAAAATTTCCTGCCAAAAGCCAGAGAATGCACCGGAGAACCTGGTTTTCTTATTTCAAATTTTGTGAGAACTTTGGAAGATAAGCTGAAAAAGGTATCAAAGTTAATTTTCTTTGCTATAAATCATATCTTACTTAAAATACGTTTAGGCCTTAGGAAGAACAGACATTTTCCCTCCCCTTTGCCCCTGCAAATTTCTTGACTGGCTATCATGGCTCATAGTAAGTAATTGTTTCCTGAAAAGTCCTATTTTTCTTTTCCTTTGCTCCTGCTGGTGCATATTAGGGTTTAGTAAACTTGCTGTCCAGTCTTTGGGTCAATGAATTGCAAGCAATATTTTATCAAACTAAATTCTGCTTTTTTAACCTAATGACCTCTATAGCCTCTCTAGAGATACCTCAAGTAAAGCTGATGAATTTTCTTTTTGCTATGAGATTTTGTATTGGTGTGAGCTATTCACAATAGCTGTTCTATAATAACAAATTAAATACTCTCGATTTTCTTGTTTTTAGGGATTCCTTCAGGATTCATAAGTACTATTGGGTCAGAAAATCAGGGATAAGGATAGTTTACTTATTGATGAAACAGCTGTATCATCATAATTGGTTAAGCTGGAGTAGATCATAGTTTGAGGATAAACTACATAAAATGAAGGCCACTATTTTAGATGGATACCTGATAGTACCTATCAAGATACCCTTGCTTCCTTATGGAACTCTCTTTTTTGTAATTAATTTAATAAAGTCCTTTGATTTCTTGGTTATCAAGTAAAGATATTCTTTTTCAACTCAAAATATATTTATAAAAGTAATTTTATACACAGTGTATAGTGGATATTAGAGTTTAAAAAGAAAGTATTTTTAATGGAGAGGAATATCAAATATTTGCAGCCCCAATAAATTGTAGCAAATTGTAACAATTATTTTATTCTGAAAGTGTAATTTTCTTGAGGACAAGATATCTTTGCATTCTTGTTAACCATAAGAGTATGTTGGTAGCTTACCTTCAGTTGTTGGATAAGTGAATGAATTGAGCCATGCCTGTGGGACTGAATAACTACTAACACCATCTATCATTTCTTTTTATAGGTGGTGCCTTTTAAAGATACCTTCTTAGCAAATCTATGATAAAAAATAAAAGTAACGAAAGAAATCATAACTCTTATTTCTCAAGTGACAAGCATTTAATGTCAGAATGGCTCACCTAAAGCGACTAGTAAAATTACACATTAAGAGACATTACCATAAAAAGTTCTGCAAGCTTGGTGCAGTAATTTTTTTCTTTTTAATAGTTTTGGTTTTAATGCAAAGAGAAGTAAGTGTTCAATATTCCAAAGAGGAATCAAAGATGGAAAGAAACATGAAAAGCAAAAACAAGATGTTGGATTTAATGCTAGAAGCTGTAAACAATATTAAGGATGCAATGCCAAAAATGCAAATAGGAGCACCTGTCAGGCAAAGCATTGATGTTGGTGAGAGACCCTGTTTGCAAGGATATTATACAGCAGCAGAATTGAAGCCTGTTCTTGACCGTCCACCTCAGGATTCAAATGCACCTGGTGCTTCTGGTAAAGCATTCAAGACAACCAATTTAAGTATTGAAGAACAAAAGGAAAAGGAACGTGGGGAAGCTAAACACTGCTTTAATGCTTTTGCCAGTGACAGGGTTTCTTTGCACCGAGATCTTGGACCAGACACTCGACCTCCTGAGTATGTTGAAGAATATTTATTGTTTATTCTTTATCACCAGGCTTTGCAGGGGAGAAAGGAGTTAGCTAAGGAAATTGCCTGCTCTTTAGCTTCTCTAAGGCAAAAAAATCAACAAATACTGTTTATTTAACCTACTGTATTTATTTTTTGCTTATAACAATTGAGGCTACATAACCCTGTTTACGCTTGGTGAGGCAGTGCAGACATGAAAAGTTATTAGCTTGGAAATTGGAAAACTGAATTCTAGATATGACTGCTATCCACAAGGAAATCCTTTAGTCCTAAATTCTGTGGTTTTGTCACCTATTTAGGAGGAATTATTGGATAATTTGTATGGGAAATACAGAAGGTAGAGGAATTATTTCCATTTCTCTGTGTATTTCTATATAATAGAAATGCTAAAAAATATGCCAGGATTTTGGAGCTATTGGACAATATTTTATAGATTTATAAACCAGTTCTCAGACTTTGTGATTACTTTGACTCAAAGTCTTTGAGTATATAACTATATTTCAGAATGCCCTACTTTTTGTAAGCATTCTCTTGAAGGAGAATATTGTTACAATTACTATTACAACTATGATTATGTCTCTAGAGTTTTGTTAAGTTCTCATATCTATAAAGTTGTCTTCCTTTAGCAACTGAGAGGCTGTTTTTTTAATCCAGTTACTTTGTTTACCTGTTTCAAGTATACAATATTTTGACTAATATTTCCCCCAGGTTCTGTTATGCTGTCTCTTTGTCCTTAGTTAACCTTTTTATTTTCTTCTAGTCTGTGAGGAAAAGGCCAAATGCTGTATTTGAGCTGATATGGCTAAAATGAATTCCAGCACCAAGTCCTCAGTAGATTTTTTTTTTTTTGAGATGGAGTAGTTTGTTGCCCAGGTCTGAGGGCAGTGGCGTGATCTCGGCTCACTGCAACCTCCACCTCCCAGGTTCAAGTGATTCTCCTCCTTCAGCCTCCTGAGTAGGCTGGGATTATAGGCATCTACCACCACACCCAGCTAATTTTGTTGTATTCTTAGTAGAGACAGATTTTCATCATGTTGCCCAGCCTGGTCTTGAACTCCTGACCTCAGGTCATCCACCTGCCTCAACCTCCCAAAGTGGTGGGATTACAAGTGTGAGCCACTGCACCTGGCCCTTCCTCAGTAGATTATTTATTAATTATTATTATTATTTTTTGAGATGGAGTATCTCTCCGTTGCCTAGGCTGAAGTGCAGTAGCACGATCTCTGCTCACTGCAACTTCCACCTCCCAGGTTCAAGCGATTCTCTAACCTTAGGCTCCTGAGTAGCTGGGACTGCAGGCATACGGCACTGTCTCTTGTTAATTTTTGTATTTTTAATAGAGATGAGATTTTACCATGTTGGCCATGCTGGTCTTGAACTTCTGACCTCAGGTGATCTGCCCACCTTGGCCTCCCAAAGTGCTGGGATTATAGGTGTGAGCCACTGCACCTGGCCCCTCTGTAGAATTTTAAGAGTACAAGACAGTACAAGAAGGATACTCTGTCTCAAAAACAAACAAACAAAAACCCAGTAAAAGACAAACTGTAAACAAACAGTGCCTAAGTATTTTGCTTTCTAGTTATTAGAGAATTACATCTGGCAGTGAACTTGAACTGTTGCGCTATTCTAATCTGATTGATTCAAGTTTAAGTTGCTCATAATTTTAAATGAATGTGTAAAGAAACTATAAAATATTCTAGATGTTATAACAAGGCGCATTATAGTTCCTTTTATATATTAATATATTATAATGTAGTATTGCACTTTACTGATTTGGGGGAAGGTTTTGACTGAAAAGTAATCTACATTAAAAATCAATAATTATGATTTTTATTCTTTTGACATGACAATCAATGCTAGCTCAAAATGAGCTTTTCCCCCCCAAGATAGCATTAAGAAGCTGTAATAATTTTCAGTGATATTAATCACTAAGTAAGTGTAAAACAACTAAGCACATTAACAACGTTTTTTAATGAGTGTAGTCTTTTGTGTTGAAGATGTAATTATTTCTTACTTTGGACAGGATTTTGTACAGGTGGTAAAGATTTGTTTTACTTCGACTGTAACCAATATAAGCAAAGAACACATTTTCTGAAGAATTGCTACCGTTTTCCATGCTCATTAGAAATATAGATCTAGTTTCTTCCAAAGCCAGGTGGTCATATGACTGATAAGTTAAGCATGTTTCTATATGCCAGGTTTTTCATATGGTTTGACTGAAATTATACAGTCACTTTGGCAAGTTATTTTAATTGCACTATTTTGAATATGTAAAACAATTTTCAAAGTATGCATTTAACCTGTTGTTTCAAAATGAATGATGTTTTTGAAATCATATTGTGAAATTTTATTACTTGTATTAATGATATAACATGACACTTTTAGTTGATATTGGTAATTATCAGTTAAGCAAATAAATCCTAGTTTAAACTGATGAAAAATCTTACAAGATTAAAGTGGTAACATTTTATTAGTGTAAATTTTTGTGAAATTTTATACTTTAAATCTTCAAAATTGTTTTATAATTCTTGATTAATAAATACTGTATTAATTAACTCCATATCAAGTAAAGGTAGGAAAAAATCTTAAACTCGGAATTTCACTTTCTCCTCAAAATGCTTAAAACCAATCATGAGTTTCCTCTTTTTTTCTTTAAAAATAAAAAAACAGTATGGAATTTTCATGATTTTTATTTCTAGTTGATGTTAGTTATAAACCTTTATGAGTTCAAAATGTAAGCTTATATTTAGTAGTTTGTTTCTGTGTAATTGTAGTTCAAGTATGTATATGAATAATTTGCGATTGAGCTTTTTTAAAATTGGTAGTTTATCCAAAAATAGAATAAATAATTTGCTTTGGTTTGTGAATGACAAAGAAGGTGCTTATTTCATTTCTGCTCATGCACCTGTATCATGCTTTGAAATCATGAAGAAACTGAAGAGTAATGCCACTTTCACTCAGAACGCACACTCTCCTTTTTCTACTCTGTTGACATCTTCTCTCGGTATTTTACTCCAGTCCAGCCCCTTTTTTATCACTACAAATATTCCATTTTAAAGACTTGCTCTTAGAAAAGGGTCTCAGAGACATTCCGATTGAGGTATGACCATAAAAATAATTAATTAATGGGATAATTTGTGGATCTTTTTAAGGGTGGTTTTCTCAGGCTTCTAATATCACACTAGAGGCTACAGTTTCCCATTTGGCCCTGGCAGAGCAACTGAAGTGTGTTGGACTCTTATCTCCATGAGTAAATGATTTACTGCCTTATCTTGGTGTTTTAGCAGCACTGTTTAATTGTTCACACACTGCATTTACTGTGCCTTTTGACTGTATGGGAGGATTTCATAGTCTGTGGTCTAAAACTGTACAGCCATTTATGATTTTTAAGTGGCCTTAAAGATATAGTTGCTTTATTTGCTTATTTTTCCCATAAACTACACACAGTTTTATTCTATGTCCCAGTGATTTGAAACCCTCTCCTATGGGTTTTTTCATTTAATCTTCACCTCACTTCAGCAGGCTTGGAACTGTGGTTATCTCTACATTTCTATCCTCAAAGCCTGGAGACTATACAGACTTACCTGCACCCCAGTGGCTTAATATGAAGATTTTTTTTCATTGTGGAAAGACATTACTATAAAAAATGAATTTGAGATCAATTTAAAACTAATGTTTTTAGCTAATAGATAGTACCACTAATTAGTCAAGGGTACTTAGAGTCTCTCTCCCTGTGCCCAATCAATGTTTCAGATGTTGATAGCAGCACAGGAATTTTAACATGGAGTTAGGTCTTTATTTAGATCTTTATTTCTATGTATGTTTTTTAAAAGGATTTTTTAAACGCTGGTCTTATTAAACAGTAGATCAAATGATTGGAGCAAAATCTTTAATATAACACATGGCAAATGGCAGCACTTAAGTATTTGCTGAATGATGAACATCATAAAAACTTAGGTTTAGGCTGGACGTAATGGCTAACACCTATAATCCCAATATTATGGATGGCTGAGGCAGGAAAATTGCTTGAGGCCAGGAGTTCAAGTCCAGCCTGGGCAACATCACAAGGCTGTCTGTATTTTAAATAATAATCATAAGAAGAAGAACATAGGTTTTACAGTAAAGCTATTTTTTTTTCCTTTTGGTTATGTATACAGATCAAGTAAATTGATTCAATAAACCTAGGAAAATATTTAAGAAACCTATATTACACACTTAGGAAAGTAATTAAAGATAATCTCTCTAAAAATGTTTCAGTAAAGTGGTACAAATTTTAAAGTTGCAAATATGAAAAATGGAAGATTTCTGCATCAAAGAAGAAAAACTTCGTTTTTATTTGAGCAATTATAAGGATTTGTCTTTGTTGTTGTTTTGAGATGGAGTCTCACTCTTGCCCAGCCTGGAGTGCGGTGGTACGATCTCTGCTCACTGCAACCTCCACCACCCTGGTTCAAGCAGTTCCCTTGCCCCAGACTCCCGAATACCTGGGATTCCAGGCATGTACCACTATGCCTGGCTTTTTTTTTTTTTTTAATTTTTAGTAGAGATGGGGTTTCTCTGTGTTGGCCAGGCTGGTCTCAAACTCCTGACCTCAGGAAATCCTCCTACCTTGGGCTTCCAAAGTGCTGGGACCTTACCCAGCCTGGATTTGTCATTTTTACATGCTGTCTATTGTAGGTTATTTTCATTATTTAAAATGTTATTTGTATTTAAAATTGTATTATTGAGAAAGTTTACAATAACATTTTACAATTCTTGCTATGTCATAATCCCTATTGGTGGACGTCATCTCTGAGTGAGTCTGTTGCTTATAAAAAATTTGTGTGATCTATTTACATTTGATATGGCACTAAGATCATCTCACATAGAAAAAAACTATCATTTTTCAGTGATAAAGATTAAATAATAATGTTAGCAATGGTATAACCGTGAAATAAAATAATAAAATTTTTAATTGTTTTCTACTTCTTTGACTTCTAGATGTATTGAACAAAAATTTAAACGCTGCCCTCCCCTGCCCACCACCAGTGTCATAATAGTTTTTCATAATGAAGCATGGTCCACATTGCTTAGAACTGTCCACAGTGTGCTCTATTCTTCACCTGCCGTACTGCTGAAGGAAATCATTTTGGTGGATGATGCTAGTGTAGATGGTAAGAAAGCACGTGCAAATTAGATTGTTTCCCGAATAAATCCATATGATAGTATCTAAAGTCTACTTGTTATATGGTGCTCTCTGTATGCCATCTCAGAGCTTGAATAATAAAAGTTTGAATAGTAAGTGTACTGAATGAAATTAGAATCTAAGGATGGACATATTCAAATATTTTCAAATGCAGAAAAGTATGAAACACAATTATTTGTAACTCTGTAGTCCTCAATGTGAGACTGTTGTTGTAAGGCACAGTGGTTAAGAGCAGACTTGAGCCTTGGAGTCGGGCTGCTTTGATTTGAATCTCAGCTCTTTTCATAACCAACTATATAACTTGGGCAAGTTACTCAACCTCTCTGCCATGATTTTTTTTTATCAGTAAAACTGGGAATAATACCATGTTAAATCAAACATATTTTGTGTCATTAATTTATAAATCACTAGGAGAAAACCTACAGCTAATTAAGTTAACATGCCATTGATTGTAAGAAGTATCTAATGATGTAGTTTAAAATTGAGGAAATACAGCACTAGTACATAACTTCTAGAGTTGTTTTAAAGACCAAATGGGTTAATATAAATATATCAATAAATAATATAAATGAATAATTAAAAATCACTAAAGAGTCACCAGGTTCTATTTTACTGGGTGTTCTTAAATATTCCAAGATATTATTTATAATGTTACCCAAATTATTTAGTGCATTTCCACTTAAAATTTGAAGTCAAATACTAAATTACACATTTTAAATTGGAATCACAAGGCTAATTTAACAAATACTGTAACTTGCTAAATTTTCAAATATCGTATTTTAAATATTATATCAAACAGATACAGATTATTTCAATGATTACACAATTTATTTCTTAATAAATCCAAGTTTGGAGTCAGATGTCTCATTTTATCCTTCCAGCAATCGCCTGTGATTGTAAGTCCTATTATCCTCATTAAAGAAACTGAGGTGCAGAAAAGGTAAAATACCTTGCCCAAGGTCACACAGCTAAAAGTAATTGTGCCATGAAGTGAAATCAGGGCATCTGATTTCATGTAGCTTTTTATTCTTAACCCCCACATAAAGGGTGTACATAGGAGCTAAATTTAGGGTGCAGATAGGAATTTACAGGAATTCATATGTTGTGAGTAAGTAATTTTTTTTTTTTTTTTTTTACAAATTCCAACAGTGAGAGGGTATATTGAAGGAATCTGTAGTAACTCCATTTAAAATAATTCTAATCAAGGATGTGGAAATTTTTGCAAGTCTCTTAAAACAGAAAATATTTGATTGTATTTTTTAAGATGAATTACAATTCTGTTTGTCTTCCTGAGAATTATTGAGGTAGTTAGAAGGTGCTAAACAGTTAATCTGGTCATTATTTTGAACTGCTTAGAAGGTGTTAAAAAGTTGATCTATTACTCTGAGACAACAGTGTTGAGATAGATTTATTTTTCCTCCATGTTTTGTTCCTGGACTTAACCTCTCTTATGAATGTTTACACTTTAAATAAGCAACTCTCTTATCTGAACCACTGGAGAATTGGAAAAAAGCATATATTATCACAGATAAAGTCATATACATTCACTTCTAAAATCTGGCAGAAACAAACTTTTACCCCAGGACATTTATTGATTTTCTTAATAGTCCCAAATCTTTTTGAGGCTATGTTTTGGGCCCAAGAAGGCCGCTTGAGGAACTGAACTTGACGAATTTTATACTCAATCAGAAATCAAAAATTTAATTGTGAAAAGCAGGCTTAAGAAATTGTTTAAGACTATGAACAGCTGGGTGCAGTGGCTCACCCTGTAATCCCAGCATTTTGGGAGGCTGAGGCCTGCAAATAGCTTGAGTTCAGGAGTTGCAGGCCAGCCTGGGCAGCATGATGAAACCCTGTCTCTTAACAAAACAAAACAAAAACTAGCTGGGCGTGTTGGCGCACACCTGTTGTCCCAGCTCCCTGGAAAGCTGAGGAGAATCGCTTGCGGCCCAAAAATGGAGTTTGCAGTGAGCTGTGCCACTGTACTCCAGCCTGGGCGACAGAGCAAGACTGTCTTAAAACAAACCAAACAAACAAAAAACAACACTTGATTGATATTTGTTAATAACTTTTTTAAAAAACCTGTAATCTCAACTTTTGCTTGTTACCAACCTCATCCAATTTGGGATATTGAATTAAAGTATATACCCAATACTAAAATTTACCTGTTTCATATTTTTACTGGAAAAAAATCTGTCAGGAGACTCCAAAGCTTTCACAAATTTTTCTGCTGAGTCTGTGTAGGAATAGTCCCAAACTGCTGTAGCCTGGACTTTCTGACTTGTCTCAACATTTTGGCCTTAAATTATTTTGATCCTTGCTTAAATATCAGAGATCTTTTGATATTTGACATTTTTATTTAAGCTTTCCAGATTTAAATATCAATTTCAAAGCACTGAATATCTTTTTGGCCAAATTCCATTTCTTCGACTCTTGTGGCCAGTCTTCTCAGACCTCTAAACGAGTCTTCTTAATGACTAGCATTCACTCCATTTGAAGTTTCTCACTTCCCTCCAAACACATTATATTTGTTGATAAGAAGTGTACAGAATCAGTATGTGTTACAGTAGTGATAATTTGCATAGATAACCTTTTTCCCCAGTAAGAAATAAAGGTAAATTTTTCATCTTACTGGTAGGACACATGCAACTGTTAAGATTACGAATTTGGAAGGATCATTGCTCTGTGGTTTCATTAGCTTTCATATGCTATATATGAAATAAATTTAGAAAGAGTTAATCCTGATTTTTTTTTCTTTACAGAGTACTTACATGATAAACTAGATGAATATGTAAAACAATTTTCTATAGTAAAAATAGTCAGACAAAGAGAAAGAAAAGGTCTGATCACTGCTCGGTTGCTAGGAGCATCAGTCGCAACAGCTGAAACGCTCACATTTTTAGATGCTCACTGTAAGTATATATGTATGGTTGTAACATTTTTCCTCCCTCTCCCTCTAATTTAAAAGGTAAGGAAGACTTTTCTTTTCTAAATGCCTAATTGCGTTTTCTTTCACAGCATTTTCAACTGGTGATTATAGCAATGACAGCCCAAGCAGATAGCAGCTCTGCAGAGAAAATTCCTTTCACTTACATAGAATTCTTACCCCCTTTGTGCTTAAGTTTTCTCAACTTTAATATTCTCCAGTTACTAGCTGTTCCAGCCAGTTATCCTTGCCTCTTTTTTTTTTTCTTGATTGCTACACTTTAAAGTGAGTCAAAGCTTATTTAATATTTAAATATGGGTGGGCATGGTGGCTCATGCCTGTAATCCCAGCTCTTTGGGAGGTCAGGGTGGGTGAATCACTTGAGGTCAGGAGTTCAAGACCAGCCTGGCCAAAATGGTGAAAGCCCATCTTTACTAAAAATACAAAAATTAGTCGGGCATGGTAGCATGTGCCTATAATTCCAGTTACTAAAGAGACTGAGTCATGGGAATCGCTTGAACCCAGGAGGCAGAGGTTGCAGTGAGCCAAGATTGTGCCACTACACTCTAGCCTGGGCAACAGAGTGACACTCCATTTCAAAACAAATGAATGAATAAATGAATGTAAACCACCCTATCATTAAACTTTGTCCTAGTCCTGCTGCTTTTAATTTTTATATATAGTTTTTGTGTTTTTTCAAAAAAATTTGCAGACTCCTTGGCATAAAAAGGAGTCTGCAAATATTCAAAAAAAACCCCCACAAAACCAAAATATACTTATATATACAGTTTTTATGCCAATTTAGGGATGTCCCATCCCAACTTCTTTGGTATCTCTTCATAAACATTGTCAATTTTTGTTTGACTTTGTTGCTGTTGGTTTTTCTTTGTACTTTAATTTTTTCAGAGTCAAAGTTTTTAAAGCATTTAGAAAGCATTTTCAGAGTCAATGTATCATATGTATGCTAGGTATTACTAAAATGTCATTTAGCCCCTTGAGCTTTGAGTTTGGTGGGTGATACTCTGTATGAGTATCTAGCTTTGAATTGGTCAGTGCTTAGGTTGTGTTTCACCCAATAACTGGATTTGAGCACACATCGATTGTTACAGAAGGGCTTTTGGATGTTCTTGAGTTGCTTAGAGCCATCACATTCAGTTCTCTCTCAACACCAGACATTTCGAAAATGAAGAGAAGACTAAAGGTAATCCTAGAGAGGTGTTTTAAAAAGAAAAATACCATCCTCTGGTATTTCTTTTCCTTGTCCAAAATTACAATAAGATCATACTGGACATTCTTCCACACTGGGTGAATGTGTCTGATGGTCCTTCTGGACCATGACTTCTAAATTCTGCTTTGTGGGGAGCCCAGAATGGAACTGCGCATGAATTGTCTGAACTTGCTGTGTATTATGTAAAATAGCCTGGCCTGTGACCAGGACCCAGACCTATCATGGTATGGAACTCCTTCGCCCTCCCTTTATAGTAGGTCTGGAGCAGCTTTGAATGGTCCTTCTTCTCCATTTGTTAAAATCAGAATTTATACTGACTACTTATTTTCTCCTAAGAACCAGTCAGATAAATGAAGATTTCTATTACTGTACCTTACTAAGGGAGATGCATGTTTAAATAAATCAGAACACGTTTAGGGCCAGGTGACATGGAACAGCAAAAAGCTACCTTTAATTCATAGGCCATTTCAACACGTCATCTAAACTTTAAATACACTAGTGTTATTTTGCATATTTTGTAGAAGAAAGAAGGTCATCATCTGTAGGGGAGTTTTTCCAACTGTATTGAATCTTGTTTCAACTTTTTCATCCCACCCTTATCTCATCTCAAGAAACCTTTAAGAAAGCTCTCCTTCTGGAGATCTGTTGTACAACTTGGTGATTATAATTAATAATAATGTATTGTCTACTCAAAAATTGCTAAGAGTAGATCTTAGATGTTCTTACCACCTACTTCATAAGCCAATAGGGTGATGGATATATTAATTAGCTTGATTGTAATAATCATTTTACAATGTATACATATATAAACACTATGCTATACACTGTAAATATATAGAATTTTTGTCTTTTATATCTCAATAAATCTAAGGAAGAAAGAAATCTCCATTATATACATGTTCAAAACACAAATGACTCTGTTATTTTCATTTCTCTGCAAACCTTCACCTAAACAACTAAAGAAAACACATTCAGTGTTTGTATTGAATTAATTAAAATTCTGTTCCCTCCAGGTGAGTGTTTCTATGGTTGGTTAGAACCTTTGTTGGCCAGAATAGCTGAGAACTACACTGCTGTCGTGAGTCCAGATATTGCATCCATAGATATGAATACATTTGAATTCAACAAACCTTCTCCTTATGGAAGTCACCATAACCGTGGAAATTTTGACTGGAGTCTTTCATTTGGCTGGGAATCACTTCCTGATCATGAGAAGCAAAGAAGGAAAGATGAAACCTACCCAATTAAGTAAGATGATTGCTTACATTGAATATGTACACACTCTGCTTTATAGCAATTGCCCCTGAGGTAATTGATAAAGAGCACACACATTCTATATAAAGAGAATCTAAAAGTCATTCATTTATGGACTTATTTACACATGTTGTTGCTTAGTAAGAGGTAGCAGTAAGTGCACTCTTAGGTCTTCTTCATCAATCATTACTTAAGAATCTTGAAGGATGATTAGGAGAAGACATCTAATTTTGCCCCAATGGGAGAGGACATGAAGTACTCCTCACCACTCCAAAAATCTTGACTTTGAAGCTAGCATTTCTAGTTTTTATTAATCTGTATAAAAACTTTGAAAATGTGATGTGGCTTTAATTTTTGAATTTGATTCAATTCTTAAAATATGCTGTTTTATCTTGTTTAGTTTTTATAACAAAATTTGACTATGGATTATTTTTCAGAACACCTACTTTTGCAGGAGGACTTTTTTCCATATCAAAAGAATATTTTGAGTATATTGGAAGTTATGATGAAGAAATGGAAATCTGGGGAGGTGAAAATATAGAAATGTCTTTCAGAGTAAGTTTATGGAAATTAAATATAGCAGATATATTAAACAATAAAATATATTGTGTTCTAATTGGCTGGTACAGATGATTACAGATGTGTGAACTCTACCTTTTGTGCTTTCTAAAACTTAATTGCTAGAAATTTTGGAATAAGAATATTTTCTTTTAATATATAACTTAATATATGTATTCATTGTTGCCAATGTAACAAGAGGAATCACTTAAACTCCTGTGTCCAGGCAATAACACCAATTAATGCACTTGTAACTACTGAATTGCAGCCAAGATAAATATAATTAAATCTAGTGCTTCAGGAAATGAGTTGATTATCAAGGGAGTTAGAATGGAAAACCATTTATGTATAATTTTAAAGGACATTGGACTTAATTGTTTGGATAGAATAAGCTGGATATTTTTCTATACATAAATTAATATATTTTAAAAAGACTTTGGATACGCTCCATATGTACCTTATTTATTTGATTTTATGTTTCATTTTCTGCAGTAACTTTATCATTCATTTTTCATCTCTTAGGTTGGAATGTAGTGGAAAAAGAACAGAACTAGGTAGGAGTTAGAATATTTAAGTTCTGGCTCTGGCTTGCTCCATCACATACCAGCAGTGATGATCTTAGCCAAGTTTGAACTGCTTATGGCAGGGGTCTTGTTTATTCATTTCAGTATTTCCAACCCCTAGCACATGTTGGGTTACAAGCACAGTTTGTTGAGTTGAACTGAGTCTTCTCATTTGTTCAAGAAAGAAAGTAGATAAAGAGAACGTGATCACTTGCTCTACTACTAACACATACTATTAAATATGACTTATTTTCAGATTCTTTGCTTGGTGACTATGGCAGAGTCAATTATAAAGATATTTAAGTGAAAAGCCATGGAATTCATGATTTGCCATTTCATTTCAAATTAATGCAAATAAGGGTTTTTTGTTTTTTACATTTTCTCTCTAAATAGGCATGAATTTTTAAATAATCATCCACTACTTCACAAGTTCAATAGAATGGTCATTGGTAATAATGGCTATCCAAAATTGTTTTTCTTGGTTACAAAATTGAATATATAAGGGGTAATAGGGTCTGAGTCCACTTAAACCTAAGCTTAGAAGAGAAACTCTAGTTTAAGTGAAGTGACTATGTAAGCAGTTCAGACAGAAGTCAAATGCATAAGAGCCTTTAGTATTCTGTGTCTGTTAGAGAACTCACATAACTACTTGCAAAAAAAAAAAAAAAACACCTGGAATTAATTTTTATGAAAAATCTGAATTCATCATTTGGTTAACTTGCTGAAAATGTACTTCTTTTATCTTTGGTGTCTATGCCATTTAATAAAAATCATTCCTTATATTTAAGAACTTAAGTTGAAATGGCAGGGGACAGAGACTATTTGTAATATTGTAATCTCTTCTCTATTTTTGTTTTTAGTATCTTAAAGGTGAACTTAAAAGCAACACTGATTTTTCTAAAATACTGTAAATTTAAACAAATATCATTAATTATCAGGTATGGCAATGTGGTGGGCAGTTGGAGATTATGCCTTGCTCTGTTGTTGGACATGTTTTTCGCAGCAAAAGCCCTCATAGCTTTCCAAAAGGCACTCAGGTGATTGCTAGAAACCAAGTTCGCCTTGCAGAAGTCTGGATGGATGAATACAAGGAAATATTTTATAGGAGAAATACAGATGCAGCAAAAATTGTTAAACAAGTAAGTTAAAGCTAAGTAGTTAAAATGCAATAAAAATCTGTAACAAGTTCCCATGCCATTTTGCTTTGATTCATCTCAAGCATAAAACATCAAAATAAATTGAAAGTAGATTTGTAATTTTAACTCAATGTATGTAAGTTATGAATGCCAGTTTCCTTTTTTTGAGAAAAAAACTAAATAAACTGCTTTTGACAAATCAGGAATTCTACTTGATGTTTTTAATGTGAAAGATACTTTATTTTTGTTGCTGCCCGGTTCAATATTTTACTCAAAGAACATTAAGTAGAACTGGGTGTTTTTGTTGTTTGTTTGTTTTTTTACTGGTTTTAGGAGATATAACACCTAAATAAAGGTTCTAAGTGACTTTTTGCACTGGAGATAGAGACAGTGTCTTAAGTGGCATGAGAATGAACCAGGAATGTCAAGGCTTTTTTTTTTTTCAAGTTCTAGTTCCACTACTTACTGGAAATGTTACTTTGGCAAAGCCTTTGAGTATGTAAAATAGGGAAGTCACTTCATAGAGTGGTTGCAGGGTGGCTGGACATGCAGTGGATGTTAACATGTTTCTTTTCTCTCCTTCCCTGTTTTTAAGAGATGAAATACACATTCTGACTCTCTCCCAGAGTAGCTGTGAAATAAGAAAGTGATAAGTGCTAACAAGTACATGGTACTCTTGTTATTAACCTGTCATAAATAGATTATGCTCTGTAGGACCATGAAACCTAACACACTGAAGTGAGTTCCAATAGTCTTAATAATATTAGATGAGGTAAATTAACTAGAGAGTTTAAGACCATGCTTCAAGGAATAGTACTCATCTCTTTGTAGGAAATAGATAGTGCTAATTTGCAGGGTGGGTGGAAGGTGGAGTATTTATTGGGAGTCAATGGTATCAATATTTTGGCTGTTGTGGTAAAGAAAGATCTGGTTACCTCTTTCCCCTTTTCTTTAGTCTCCAGTATCTCCCAATAGGATGCAAAGTCAGAGCACTACTGTGTTAAATTGCTATCTTTTTACCTGCTGCCATGAAGACAAATTGGGCAGATTGTGTACTGCACAATAGTGTTTGGCTAAGCAGGCAAGTGGGCACTACATGAAGCTTATGCTCTGCTTGTCCCCCACAAAGGTGCACATGAGTCAGCCAGTACCTGTTTGTTACCACAGGATAAATAATAATAAGCTAAACAGAACTTCTGAAGACTCGTGCTTTTTGCTAAAACACCTAGGTTTAGACATTGATGTTGGCATAAGAAAATCTTTTCTTTACTTGGACTGACAAGATTGAGTATTTACTTTTGCATACATTTAGGTATTACCTGTACTTTTTCTCTAATATTTTGCCTGTAGGTCAAATACCTTAAAGTTTAATACTTTTTTAAAAATTATATTCTAGTTCCTTAAAATAAAGGAAAATAAAATTCATTTAATTTGAAAATTGCCTTTTTCTACTAAAGGTTCAGTTGGGGATATTGTTAAGAACAAGCAACACCCTTGGACTAGAAAAATTACTCCTGGCTGGGAGCTGTGGCTCAACGCCTATAATCCCAGCACTTTGGGAGGCTGAGGCGGGTGGATCACAAGGTCAAGAGATCGAGACCATCCTGGTCAACATGGTGAAACCCCGTCTCTACTAAAAATACAAAAATTAGCTGGGCATGGTGGCGCACACCCTGTAGTCCCAGCTACTTGGGAGGCTGAGGCAGGAGAATTGCTTGAACCCAGGAGGCAGAGGTTGCGGTGAGCCGAGATCGTGCCATTGCACTCCAGCCTGGGTAACAAGAGCGAAACTCTGTCTCAAAAAAAAAGAAAAGAAAAAGAAAAATTACTCCCAATGGGTTGTTTCTTGCTGGTAGTTTTCTGTGACCTTGACAGAGAAGAGATAGAAGTTTGTTGTGTATTGGAACTGTTTGTCTATACCTGCTTTCTCACACCTCGCTTTGCAGATCAGTTTTAGGTATAAAGTCAGGACCAATTTTGGGTGCTCCCACTACCATTCTTTTGCCCACAGAATTTCACTAGAAATCTTTGTCTTGTAGGGGATGTTTGTGGCACAAATGAAGAATAAAATAGCATAATTTTAGTATTTTAGTCAGTGCTGATGTGGTCTTGACTCTCTTTAAAGTCAGAAATGAACAGGCAGGCATACTTTATACTTGAATGAATGATGATGCCATTGAATTGCCTCTCGAATTTTTAGCACAGATTTTTAACTATACCAAAATAGAAATACATGTAGTAGAATTTTAATTACTTTATCAGTGTTGTTTTAATTAAGCATTCCCTTTATTTCTCATCTTTTTACAGAAAACATTTGGTGATCTTTCAAAAAGATTTGAAATAAAACACCGCCTTCAGTGTAAAAATTTTACATGGTATCTGAACAATATTTATCCTGAGGTGTATGTGCCAGACCTTAATCCTGTTATATCTGGATATGTGAGTATTTTCCTGTTCCTTTTTCACTTAATATGCTCCTTGCCACCAACCTTTATGTGGTTCCAGGAAAATTGCTGAAATACTTTCTGGTTTATTGCTTTTGAGATTTTTACATTATAATCAGTAACATTACTTTTTAAATTATTTTACAAATATATAAACCCCACAGATTTAAAAACTTTTCATAACTTAAAAATTTTCCTTTAGATTAAAAGCGTTGGTCACCCTCTATGTCTGGATGTTGGAGAAAACAATCAAGGAGGCAAACCATTAATTATGTATACATGTCATGGACTTGGGGGAAACCAGGTGAGCACTGCATTAAAAATCCTTCACTTGTAAAGCATTTACAAGCACAAGTAAGATGTTGCCTATTTTTCAGAAGTCCCAAAGCAGCTTTATACTTGGGTAAGCTGGTATGTACAATGTTTTTAGAACTTGTTTGGCAATTGATATTGATAAGTATTTTATTTTGGTTTTTACTCTGACTCTGAAAACAATTTGAAGTAGCTTACCCATTTAAAAGAAAAAAGAAAAAAGGAGGCCGGGTGCAGTGGCTCACACTTGTCATCCCGACACTTTGGGAAGCCAACGTAGATGGATCACTTGAGGCCAGGTGTTGGAGACCAGCCTGGCCAATATGGTGAAACCTCATCTCTACTAAAAATACAAAAATTAGCCAAGCATGGCGGTACATGCCTGTGTTTCCAGCTACTCGGGAGTCTGAGGCTGGAGAATTGCTTGAACCCAGGATGCGGGGGTTGCAGTGAGCTGAGATCATTCCACTGTACTCCAGACTGGGCAACAAACAAATAAAAAATAATAATAAATAAAGGAAAATGGGAAAATAATAAAATAGAATAATGGTATTTGAAATATTTTAAAAAAGAAACTTCTATATAGATCTTTGATGCTTTGACTTTTGCATGACTATTGGTGTGGTGAGTTTGCAAGTTTGCACATAAAGGCCATAGATAACTGGATTTAATCACAAATTATATCAAGTGTTAATAACAAAATAGGCATTGTAAATTAACTTTGTGGGGCCACAATATTATTTCAGCATGTTCCTCCTCTCTCAGAAGAGGATTCTCCTTGATTAGTGACATTTCTGCTTGTTACTACCTTTTCACTATTTTATTGATGAGATTCAAGTATCAAATATTACTATTTACTCGGCTATGGGTTGAGAACATGTTAAATACAAACTTTCTGTTTTCTTAAGCCTCCTTTTCTTGCCTTTTGCAAATTAACCCCTGGAAAGATTAGACTGTATTTCTCTCATTTGTTCATTCAACAGATTCACTGAGTGATCCCTATATGCTGGATACTAAGATCGATTCAAACTATTTAGATTCTAACTCCTTTAGGAAATCTGTAATTGAGCATTTCCTGAGGGTAATGCATTCAGAGTGTTCTGGGGCTATAGAAAACGTATCTGAATGAGACTGGGTGCTCACCCATTTTCCTGAGAAAGATGACATTTGAAAACATTTTTTTTTAAAGTGGGTAGGAGCTAGTGAGGTGGCTGTTGGGAATAGGAATAGAATAAGAAGAGTGTGAAGGAAAGCGAACTGAGGAGAAGAGCCTGGAGTATCTCTTCTGGGCATTGCAAGTATTTTGGTGTAGAGTTCAAGATGTGCATGGAGGATTTTTTGCAGTAATTAATACCCATGGTGTCCTATTTTAATGGGACAAAACTTTGAGATGTCAGTTTTAGGAAAAAAAGTGGTCCAGTTTATCTCCTGGTCTATCCGCTTCTGTATTTCTTCCTACCCATTAGACTCAGCTTAATCTAGTTCTAATACTCATTTAACTAAATCAATCGATCTAGTAAGGGCAGATGATACAGATGTGCAGAAGCCAGAGCTGGTGAACTGAATCTGTTGCTGGATAATTAAGGTGTAATTCTGAAATAGGATGGAGATATATATGGACACATATAGGTACACATACATCTATACCTATATCTATATACATATGTATCTGTAAATATATGTCTATGTGCATAAATCTATATGCATCTTTTTAAATAATTTTCTGTCCCTCAATATGTTAGAAGAAAAATAGTTGTATAAATAACTGCATTCTTTGGAAATAACACTGATTTAGGTTTGTAAAAAGATTTTGAGCAAAGGTAAATATTTCTGCAATTGCAAAAATCTTATTACTAAATGTAAATCCTTATAAATTTATCTTAGGCTTCTTCTAGCATTACATTTATTTTATCTTAAAGCTGAAGATACATTGTACACATTGTTTTTTTGCATTTTTTTGTTATCATTGTCATAAAGATAGTAACGGCTTTATTATATTTCTGTATCAAAAGTGTGTTTATATTTTAGATAGAATATAGCCATCTTTTAGAAATTGGGGGATGGGAAAAAATTCACATATTCTTTCAACTGACTGTCACCATATTGAAAAGATAAAGTTTCTGATCTTGTGACGCTTATATTCCACAGGAACAAAGAAAAAAAAAACTTTAGAAAAATATAGCAGGTAGTGTGTTTGGGGTGGGGTGGTTACTTTAAGAGGTGAGGGACGACCTCTTTGGAAAAGTAAACTTAGAGTGGAGGCCTGAATGTGTTGAGACAGTGTTCTAGCAGAAGATGCTCATCTTGGAGGAAGGATTTTCAAGGGTGGAGGCCCAGAGGCAGATACATGGAGAAAGAAAAAACCAGCGTGCTTAGAGCAGAGTTGTCTAGCAAAGAAGGGTAGGAAACGAGATCAGGGGCATTGATAAAGGACCTTATCATGTAGGGCTTAATAGGTCGCATTAAGAAACTTGGACTTAATTCTGAGTTTGACAGAAAGGATTGAAGAGTTTTGAGGAGGAGAATACATATTGTCTGGTATATATATTAAACAGATAACTTTGGCTTTTGTTACCCTAACACAATTATTTATTTCATTTTGTTTTATTTCCTTGACATTTTATTTTTAATCAAGCATTGCACTGAGACTGTTTTGAAGATTTTAGTTCCCTGAGTACTAAAATTTTGATATATCATGTAACTTGTTCATTTTTTGGTGTTCCCTTCTACTTTTCATCAGATAATGTTTTACAGCATAAAACTTCATTGGGACAGTATTTGTGTATGCCAAATAAAAGTAAATATTTTGGTTATGTGACTAAATTGGCCAATATTACTAGAGCAATGCAGTTTGAGTCATTATAACTTGATTATACTTACTGCTTTGCCTCATCCACTTTCTCTACTGGTTCTAAGTGATGGATATCTCCAACATTCTCAGCTATCCAATTATGTCATCTTTTTTGTTACCACCGTACTTTTAATATCTTCCAATTTTTATAATTTTCATTTTCATGACTTTTAAATAATTGGTAAAATATTTGACAGCCTTTATTACCATCTTTGAGATCTTAAGGTTTATCTTTCTTAGCCAGGTATAGATAGAATGCTATTTTCATCATCTAAATCCATTTTCTTCCAGTGTTTCCATCTGAAGAACTACTAGTTATAAAAATGACTGATGTTTTACTGGTAGGAGGAGATAAATTAAGCATCAGACCAAGAGTAGGGAAACTCAAGATATGTGGCTCTGTGAATTCAGTGAATGCTTGTAGAGTACCTGCTCTAATATACTAATATACATAAAGGGTTTAACACAGTGCCTGCCTAGCATGTAATAAGGGCTTAACAAATATTAGTGCTCCTACTAATTATTTAATTATTGCAAATCAATTATATTAACTTATTTTATCTTTAGAATGTCAACATTATGAAATATTGGATTTGTAATGGGTGTTATGACTCGATAAATTGCCTGACTTCAGTCTATGGGGAAGCCAGCTCTACACACACAATTCTACTAGAGTACTACAAAAGTTATCTCTGATGTAGTATGGGAAGCTTGAAAAGGGTGTAATTATTTTGCAGCTGGGCAAATTCAGAAAAAGCCACAGAAGGAAGGTAATATTTGAACTGGCTCTTGAAGGATTAAAAAGGAGTTAGGCAGAAAAGGGTCAAAAGGATCTTCCAGGCAGAGGACAGACTGTAAAGCAAAGTCTTAGAGTTATAGATACATATGTTCTGATTGGTAGAATTTTATGAAAGAAGCATCATATATAACTGGGGCAATGGTTGATGCAAGATCAAAAATGAAAGATTTCATGTACCAATTAAGGAATGTGGACTTTATCTTAGCAACAGTAGTGATTCACTTATGCGAGGGCAGTTGGAGATCAAACCAATGCTATAAAATACTGTCTGGCAGCAAATTGGATTGTTGGATGATAGGAACAGAAATTGGAGGTAGCTGTAGGTGTTTCAGTAAAAATTCTGAGAGTCAGAGTAACAGAAGTGAGTACATGGAAGTAAAAATGGATGGGATGTTAACATCTGAGAGGAATAGTACAGCTAAGGGATGAATTACCTGAATATGTGGAGAAAGAGAAGCATCAGCAATAACAATAGCTAAAATGTATGAGAACTCTTCATGTGCCAGTCATTGTTCTAAGTGTATTACACATATTAACCCACTTATCTTCTTAACCCTATGGGTTAGGAGCTATTAAATGACCCATCTTCAAGTGAGAAAACAGGCACGGTGAACAACCCGAAGTCCCTAGTTTAGTGAAAACACCTTTAATTAAGATGAAGAAGAGAGATGGAACACTTGTGGGAGAGAGACAGTTAATGTACTCATTAAAACTCTTCATTCCATTTTCTGAGGAATGTCTGGGGAAGCCTCCCCAGACTTGACAACTTCCAAATGCTGGTATGGGGAGGAAGACAATACCTTCTTAATGAAGTAACCAACTGTTGATGAAGAAAGGCTATTGTATCGTCTATCATAAAAACTCAGCTTATGTTTCTGATAACTATGTTTATTGTATTATTTTGTTGAAATAAAAATGACTTCATTATTTAACAAGTTGCTGATGTATTTACTTATTTTGTAACTGAGCACAGGGGTGCTTTTGTCAATAACAGTGTTCTTCCTTCCACAGTACTTTGAATACTCTGCTCAACATGAAATTCGGCACAACATCCAGAAGGAATTATGTCTTCATGCTGCTCAAGGTCTTGTTCAGCTGAAGGCATGTACCTACAAAGGTCACAAGACAGTTGTCACTGGAGAGCAGATATGGGAGATCCAGAAGGTACCTCAGTGCAGTTACCACCTCTTTAACTATTTTTCTTAGCTCTAATTGTTGTCTGGGAAAATGAGTGGAACATGGTACATTAATATTACCTATCGGAATTTTTCTCCCTTTATTAACTTTGTTATTATGTGTTTCTACCCATGTGATAAGAGAATATATATATGAATTAAGAAGCAAATAATTAAGTTGGTTGGTTGAAGCATGGTATATGCAGATCAATACCTCTGTGAATTGTTAATATTAGTTGCTCATTTTTTTCTATTTAGGGTTTCTTATAATGCTTTTTACAACAGCCATATATTTTTTCTGGCAGAGAGAAGAAAAAAATCATTGTATCTTCTCATTTGAATTGATTAATTGTTTCTGCCCTCTTTAGCACTTTTTCATGAACCTAGAATTGAGAAAAGACATAACTGGTCTCTTAAATATGTTTGAAGGCTTAGCTGTATCATGGCAATTCTTACCTGAACATTGTTTTGTATAAAACTAGAAAAGCTTAACATTGGTTTTTATGATTTATGATGTTATTAAGAGTTTGTCACCTATGGATATATCAAGGGAATACTTGTTTGAAAAAGTGATTCAGAACTTTTTCTGTCTGCCTCTCTTCATTATGTAATACCTTGTTAATTAAACAGTAGTAGTGTAAAAGGCAACTTACACTAGAAGCCAACAAGAGTTTATCAGACATGGTTGATCTTAGAAAGTTTTACTTAAGAATGGTGTCGATTAGGTTTGCTTCAGTGAAACCATAAAGCATTTTTCATATTTATCAGTTAACTATGAGTCTTAAAATTTAATGTCTGTTGTTTCCTTTTATTCTAGGATCAACTTCTATATAATCCATTCTTAAATATGTGCCTTTCAGCAAATGGAGAGCATCCAAGTTTAGTGTCATGCAACCCATCAGATTCACTCCAAAAATGGATATTTAGCCAAAATGATTAAGTGTTCCTTAAAATTAAGGAGTTGAAAAAGGAGATATTCTTTCTCAGAAAACTGTGACTAGGCATACACTGTAGTTTTCAAAAATTATGCAAAAGCAGCTAATTGTAACTTATTCCAAATGCATTTTTCTTATTTATATCTTAAAATATCTATGTAGCACTACTACAGAAATTCTGCAAGTTTCTGTTTCAAAGCACAATAACTAGTAATACCAAAGACTATTTCAAAATGTCCAGATGTAGGGGAAGAGATGTTTACAGTATGATGAAAATAATTTTCCAAGTGAAGTGGTGTTTGTGTGTTTTGTACACTTAGGGATATATATAACTACATTCACACACTCACAGTTTAAAATATTTCCCCTAGCTTTTTGGGGGTATAGAAAGAAAGATTTGTTACTGTATTTTTTTAACTACATAGAAGTGGATAAATGAAGGTCAACTTTGGCCTCTATGTATAAACCAAGAAATTTTTACAGAGCTAGAATTTATTATTTTAAAATGCAGGTGAACTTTTTTTGCCTTTGGTTTACTTGTCTGTCAAATGTTTTCTTAAACATGAAACTGAATAAGGAGAGGAATATTTTTATCACTTAAATTTCTTGGCAAATTTTAAAATATTTTTAGTCTGCAGCTCACTCCACTTGAAGCATTTAAGTCTTCCTTACATGACTTTTCTTAAGTAACTATACTGTGTATTTTCCAAAGCACTTTTTAAAAATTTTTTATAAATTACTATCTGTTGAAAATGTGTCATTTTCCTTTCTCTAGTATTTCTTTTCTTATCAAAATTCACTAATCTTGAATGTTTGTGACAAATGCAGAATACTTGACTCATTTAAAGCTAAATTTTATTACTGAATCAATTTTAATTGTAATGGATTTTTGACCTTGTAATGGATTCTTTTCATCAAATAAAGCCTTATTTTTATGTGGAAAACACAATAAAAATCCTCAACACTATTGTAATCATTTGATTAAGTTTTTCCTCTTACGGGTAGAATCTATAATCGATAATAGGTAGGGGAATATAGATTTTTATATGCTGAATTCCTAAGAACCTATTGTTTGTAAAGCCATCTGATATTTCTTAAGGCACAAAAAATTGGGAATAGCAAATCTTCTGTGTTCAATATTTAGAAAATTTTGTATTTTTGATGATTTTCCTTGAGCAACTGATAGAGTGACTTTTTTTAACAATTTGATGCTCGCCTAGGAGATTTAACACTTTTGTTGTTGGTGGTGGTGGTCATTTTATATTTAGATCTCCTTTATTCTTGTTGCAGAAGTAAAATATGATTGGTTTAATATTTTAAACCTAGCAGAGTCTCAACTGTATTAAAAAGAGCATATCTTAGTTATTGGCCCCATCTTCTCATTGTTTGTTTATAAATTTGAATTTCATTAAGAAGCCTGCATTCTCAGCTGGACATGTTGGTCCAGCCTCTAATCCCAGCACTTTGGTAGGCAAAGGCAGGAGGATCATTTGAGCTTGGGAGTTCCAGACCAGCCTGGGCAACATTACAAAATCTCGTCTCTACTAAAAAAAAAAAATTTTTTTTTTAAAGAAATTAAAAATAAAATTAGCTCGGTGTGGTGACACACATCTGTAGTTCCAGCTATACAGGAGGGTGAGGTGTAAGCATTGCTTGAGCTTGGGCGATCGAGGCTACAGTGAGCTATAATTACACTACTGCACTTCCGACTGTGTGACTGAGCAAGACAAGACTCTTTAAAAAAAAAAAAAGCCTACATTCTCTAGTTGATTGATTCAACTAATGTATATTATGTACCTAATTTTCTGTCAGAAGTTGTATTAGTCCATTTTCATGCCGCTGATAAAAACATACCCGAGACTGGATAATTTCTTAAGAAAAAGAGGTTTGTTGTACTCACAGGTGTGCACGGCTGGGGAGGTCTCACAATCATGGCAGAAGTTGAAAGGCATGTTTTGCATGGTGGCAGACAATACAGAATGAGAACCAAGGGAAACGGGTTTTCCCTTATAAAACAATCAGGTCTCATGGGACTTATTCCCTACCACAACAACAGTATGGGGAAACCACTTCGTTTATTCAATTATTTACTACTGGGTCCCTCTCACATGTGGGAATTATGAGAACTACAATTTAACATGAGACTTGGGTGGGGACATAGCCAAACATATCAGAAGTTTTGGTAGGCAGAGTAAGACTTGTTATTGCCTTTGAGCTATGTCTCATGGGTCAGAAAGAAAAATAATTTCAAAGTAGATTGTACCAGTAGACATGAATATCTATCAGCATATATTGCTCTTAGGTCTTATTATATCTCTAAAAACAAAATTATTTTTCAAATATATTTTATAAGTGAACTTAGGTACCGCATAATTTTTAAAAAACCAAAGTGTATTTATTAGTCATATGTTGTCATATCATGATCCAAATGAAATCTCCTTAGAGTAGGTTGATACTGTTATGGGAAAGTCCTTCTTAGCTGATTTTGGAGCCTCAGGCTATTGCTCAAGTGTCATACAAATCATGTCATTAAGAACTGGACCATTAGGGTAGGTAGTGCCTTTTAAAAGTCTGAGTTTTGGAACAATGGTAACAGGGAGTTATTTATGGAGCCTGGCTGCCATCCACCTGAGACTTAACTGCACTCAAGTGTGAAATTGTGAAATTCGTGCTCAATTTGAAGCTGCCATGGCAAATGGTCTGGTTACAGAAGACCTGGCATGCTGCCTTCATTCCAGAGGACCAAGTCCTAAGAACTCTAGGTTGGTAAGCTGCACTGCCAAATCCACTAGGGTTAACCTGATGGGCAAGCTCACAGAAATCCGAGAGGGGATCACACAATGAACAGTAGGAGAAATACGCAACACACTAAAATTGCCCATTACTATTACCAATTATGATGGACTTTTAAGCCCCTGTATTAGCAGAGACTGGCCCTGGACAATTTAAATAAATACTTTATAAGCCATCAAAATATTAAGCGCAAAAAGGTAGAGAGTTACTATTGCTGAAGAAGACAAGGCTGACCTTATAGAAAAGACTAGAAAAAAAATAATTTTTAAAATGCTGTTACATGCGGATGAGAATTGTAAAAGACAGGGAAAACAAAAATCCAGGAAGATTCTGTAATCAAATTGCTTCACAATTTAAAGACAGTAGAAATAATATCTTTAGACAATGCATTTTTAGTATGATTTGTGCAGGAAAGATGTTTGCAGAACTTCCGGAAACCAGTTCATACTCTGTAAAAGGCCTTGGCCCTATAGTAGAATATCTGTGAAGGAATTAATACATATATACCAACGCAGTGGCATATGTGTGTGTGTAGTGTGTATTAAATTAAAATATTTGACATGTTTTTTTATGAATTTATGTTTTAATTACCTTTTCCAAATTATCAACCCACCCAGTCTTTCCTTTTCCAGTCCTACAGTCCTACCTTTTCACATCATCAGCCCAACTATATTGCAAAGGAGAGTCCTCTGGCACAAATAGTCTCTCCTGCTCTCTAGTTTTCCATAATATCTAGGAAAATTTTGTGTCTGTTTTAGGGATTGTGTTAGGCACCAGGCACTAATAACATACAAAATAGTCCCCATTTGAAGGCAGGGAAAGTTATGGTTTAGTGATAGGGTCATCAGTATGGTCTCATAATAATAATGTTTTGAAGAGAAATAGGCCCATGATGGAGTCAACATATTCAACTTCTGGTGAGTCCACTGACAGGAGCTAGAGGAGAAAACAGGCACCCCATATTTTAGAGGTAAATAATTAAAGTAATGCTTCTTAAACCTTATTGTGCACACCTGGGGATCTCATTAAAATGCAGATTCTGATTGATTAAGTCTGGGATAGAGCTTGTAATTTTGTATTTCTGACAAACTTTCAGGTGATACCAAAGCAGCTGGCCCTGGTATCACACTTTGAATAAAAAGGGCTACCCAGTGAACCAGTGTCCAGGTTTCTTTGAGACTACCATGGTGACTTCGAACATGCTTGACATCCATAATTACTTTGAGTACCACCAGAATTCAATTCCTCTCTATCATCCATTATGATCATTATGCTTCCCAGGCGTATATATCTTCTTCCAATATATCTTCTGCTACAAAGAACCTCCAAGTTGCTAAATTCAATACCCATTTTCCTGCTGCTGTTTACTCAAGCTCTGCAGCAGTTGAAACAATTCATTGCACTATCACTTTTGAAATTGGTGACACTCTCTCCTCTCTGGGCTTTGATGGCACCACAAGCTTCTATCTCCAGTCCCACACCTCTGCTTCAAACCATCATTATATCTCACATGGACTAAAATGGTCTAACTAATTGCTCTATTTTTTGGTCATTTCTCATTGATTTTTTTTCACAGCAACTTAACTTTTTAAATAAAACAACAACATAGCTCCTCTGCTTTATTATCTTCCAATGGCTCTCAAATTGTTCTTAGAGTAAAATTCTTGCTTCTGGTTATAGCCTATGAGTTCCTATATGACCCACTCCATGCCAATTTCTCCTCCCTTATCTAGGACCACCTTTTCTGTGCTGAGTGTGTTTCATTTGGAGTAGTTGCCTTCTATTTGGCTCGTGTTTCAAACTGATTATTGCTTTAGAGCCTCTGTTTTCTTTGTCCCGATGCCCCTTGTAACAGTATCTTTTACATGTTTCTGTTCTCAGCTCAAATAATAAAATCTGGGAAGAGACCATCTTTTATGCAGTAGCCCAGTCACTACTGAATCACATGATTATTTCCTTTGTTACATTTACTACTGCTTGAAATTTTATGTGTGAACTTATCTTTTGTTTCCATAAAATGTCATCTTCACAAAAGAAAGGTGGCACATATACACCATGGAATACTATGTAGCGATAAAAAAGGATGAGTTCATGTCCTTTGCAGGGACATGGATGAAGCTGCAAACCATCATTCTCCATAAACTGACACAAGAACAGAAAACCAAACACCACATGTTCTTACTCATAAGTGTTGAACAATGAGAACACATGGACACAGGGAGGGGAATTTCACACACTGGGGTCTGGGGGTGGGGGGCGAGGGAAGGAATAGCAAGGTGTGGGGGGATTGGGGAAGGATAGCATTAGGAGAAATATGTAATGCAGATGATGGGGCGACGGATGCAGCAAACCACCACCATGACACATGTACACCTACATAACAAACCTGCATGATCTGCATAGGTACCCCAGAACTTCAAATATAGCAAATAAATTTTTTTAAAAAAGAAAAAGAAAAAAAAGGTTTGACTAGAATTGAAAACAAAAAGTAATAATGAAATCCATATCATGTTAAAATTTAGGTAAATTCAGTATATCATCAACATAAAACAACTCTATTTTTCAAGGACGTTTACATTAAATAAGGAATCTGTACCAATGAGGATGGACTATGAGTATAGGAATGAAGAATGAAGAGAAAAATATGAGCAAAAGTAAAAAAGGACAAAAAAGACAGATTTTTCTTAGATTGATGAAGAGCAACAACAAAAACTCTTGATAAGAAAAGTTTTTTGAGTAGATACATTATTTCTTCAAAAGACATGTTACAGAAAACATAGGTTTATTTACAATATTCTATAGTACAAGAATAATGGAACCAAGAAATAGTGGTACTAGTTCACATAGCACAGTGTATCTATGAAACTCATTACTTAAAAGAGTTTATATAGGTAAAAATTTTGAATAAAGTAGACTCAACAAAATTGATGACTGACAAATTCACAATCAATAAGAAAAAAATAGAACGAATGGCATGTCCCCATGTTTTCAGAGTAACATATCTGAAACATCCCTTGGATACTACATCTGTCATATAGCATGTTCCCTTGAAAGTTAATTATGAGAGTATTAGCTTTTATTTAATATTATCATAATTTTATGATATTCCTTTAAAATCTCAGTCATATATTGTGTAAATTATCATGGGAGAAGTCTAATTTTTTCCAGTGGATCTTTTGA